CATGTCTGTAGAAGAAGAACATGAGTCCGAATTTCTATTCATAAATATTTCAACAATCTTTCGGATCATATTCCACAAAACGGAGATTTGCGAATCTTTCGCATTTTCTCTTCATTCTTTTAGTTTTTCAGACTTTCTCAAATTTTTCGGATTTTGAACAGGATAAAATGTGCCTGACGATCCGAATATTTGAAAAGCTTCGAGAAACCAAAAGATTTTCGTAAAATTCGTAAGAATCTCAGAATAGCGAAAAACTCGCAAAACATGGGAAAATCTCGAACTCTGCTTTTCCTCCTTGGTTAGAACATATTGTCTTATAAGCGCGCTGATTTCTGACTAATCCTAACCATGAAAAACGAATTTAGTTTATGAGTACTTGAAATGAAAGCTGGACAACGCCCGTATCGCCTCAGGTTTGTTTAAATGGTTTTGGAGGATTTTCGGATTTTTTCGGTTTCAAATTGCAAAAGTTTCGCTTTTCTCTCTGTGTGTGTCTTTGAAGTAGCTTGAAAAATAATATCTGCCTTGTTTATTAAAAAATATATATGGTATAGTTTTGTTTCAATCAGATACATAGGGACAAATAGATCTAACAATTTTATTAGGGACGGTAAATTCTATTGAATTTTGATGGCTTCTTTGGCATAACTATAAACCATAAAAATCATTGAAAATGGTCAGAATTTTTATGCAGATCTTTGATGATTTCCAACTGATTTCTGTTGATACAAGTCAGTTTGTGTAGCCTTGAACGGACCATACAGCTTACTTATGTGAAAGAAAAGATATGACTGAATTTCAAGAAGTGCTATTTTATTATGCCTATCATTAAAAAGTCATTTTTAAGAAATGACGGGTGGTTGGGCGAACAGCCTCGGTGGTTGGGCGCCGCCCAACCTAGCCCACCCTTGGTTACGCCACTAGTTCATTTATTCTACTCTATGTAGGGTGAACTTATTTGAAAAAATGTGAGCCGTTACGGAATTTCAGAAACGGAAATTTTTTTGAGGGTGAAGTGAAAGTTGAACGTTTTACTACGAATAGAAGCGACAAAGAAATAAATGCTCTGTATACAACTTGCTTCACTTTGATTATACTTTCCATATATGGAGTCATTCCGTCTTNCCTCCTCTTCCAACAAAACCACGTTCCCGATCACTTCCACGTCATCGAATAACACAAACATCAACACCATTGAGTCTTTATTCACAAACTTCATTAAATCAATCTGTTCGACCATCACAAAGACAATCAATTCGAAAACAACATGTTTCTTGGTCACCTGTTCGACAACGAGAAACACCAATTCCAACCAAAAGGTAAATTCCAATGTTTTCATCGATTTCTTCCAAAATTTTTTTTTTAGAAAATCGATCGAAACATCTTCATCATCGGTCGTATCAATTCCAATCCGTTTTCACAAATCTCAATCAACTCAATTTCCGTCCCCACGTCCTTCATTAATCGAATCTTGTCAACATGCTTTGGTTCCACATGAACCAACATACGAAATCAGTTACAAAAGAGAAGAAGAAGAAAAATATTTTCGAAAACGTTACTTTTACGAACCAGGAAAACAACACAATGAAACGATCGAACAATACAATCGTTTATTAGAACGAATGCGTGTTACAGACAGTGAACTTAAATCTTTATCTCGATCATTGACAAAAAATAATAATAAAATATCAGAAAGAAGATCCGTCAGTAATCACGATTTATTTTATCCTGAAGTTTCTGAAACTTATCAAATCGAATTTTTCAATGGTTAATTTCAGATTGAAAAAAATTGTGAAGAATCCCGAAAAACAAAAGAAGAATTTGTAAGACCAATCATTGTTCAATTATGTCTTATTATTTTAGTTCTTTGTAATCTAATTATTGTTTATTTCTTTAATGAAATTAACATTTGGTGGAATGAAAATATTACACCAACATTAACTTTTGAACAATCGTATAAATAAGTTCAATTTTGAATTATTTCATTTGAATAGAAGTAGGATAAAACAAAAAATACAAATGAGTTTATACACAAATCTTCTTCATTATTTTTTTTTTCTTTTTAGTTTTATTAAAGATTTATGAAGAAGATTTTCTTGAAATCATATCTACTTCTATTCATTTTTCTTAGAAAATATTTTTGAGCTCAAATATTTTCCTTTTTTTTTGTTAATTATTAATCAATAAACATTTATTTCATTGTTTTTTCATTTCAAAATCGATCAAATTCTCAAAGAGAATCCAATTTTCTTCTACACTTTTTTTTTTTGTTAAACATATAACTTTCAAAACAAATCTGAGTACGAGTTCGACTAATACCTTGATGAACTTTCTTCACATTCCACATCGCTTTTCGTCCAACCAAATGAAATATGACGCAATTGTTTTCAATTATGTTTTCTTCGCCCTGTTCTAATCGATGAAATTGTGATTCATATAGAATTGTTTTGTGACATCGATTTGTTTGATGATTTTGTTTTTTCATATAAATTTCGAATAATTAATTCAGTGAATATTAAATGTCAGACTTCCTTTTTCTTTCATTTGTAAATAATTAAAAAACCATGAGTTTGTCTAACCTGTGAATGATTGAAAACGTATATTTCAATATTTTCTCATTTATTATGCAAGAAGAAAAAAAGACTTTCAAATATGTTTTTCTTATCGAGAAAAATCACGAATGTTTATATTAGACCTTTTCCAACTTGAGTAGTATGAATTGGATCAACCCATCGTGTTATATCCCAAGGAGCGATTGAATGTGATGGAGGTTCTAAATTTCATTATAAATATCAATAAAATTCAACAAAAGAAAATCTTACTTGGACGTTCAATATTTTGATGTCGATGAGCAGGTGTTGGTTGTCTTTGACGAGGACTAAAATATATCAAAATTGATTTTTAATCATTCTATGAATATATAATCAAACTTACTTATTATGACGTTGTTGACGAACCAATGGTTTTATGTAATAACCCATTCCATAATTCATTGTTGAATATTTTTTGAATTAAATTCAAATTGCACAAAAATCAAACAGTTACTCACAAATATTTTACTCAAATATGTAATAGAATGAAAAGAAAACATTTCAAAACATATTTATATAACACCTGATCGAGCAATCATGCGGAACATCATTGTATATGTATTTATTACTCTTTTCTAAACCAATCGTATAACTATTGAATGAAATTTATCTTGATAAATATCGATATAATTGCGTTTTTACATTGAAGAATATCCGAAGAGATATTCTTTGGGCAATTTTCTCGAATAAAGAAGCTATGTTAATGACGTCACATCCGCTTTTCACGGTCATGTTTTGGTAGGAATAACAACTTATGTTTTGTTGTCAACGGATGTTTGTTTATGCTTTTCGAGTAAATTTCTTTCACACTTCCGTTTTTCATATTTTGTCTAATTAAAAGCAAATTTCGAGAAAAACATCTTCTTTCAGCAATTTCATGAGAGAAATTTTCATTCAACAAGATCGTTTTCGTATTTTCAAAGATATTCAACTTGTTCATTGTTTATATAAAGTAATAATTATAAGAATACTTACAAATTTCCTTTCTTTTCTGTTAATCTTGTCAAAACTTGAATTAATTAGAAAAGTATTCTTTCAACTTTCAAGAATTCTCAAAGTATTATTAACTGGTCAAATGTGTGAAGAGCAAAGATCAAAGTTTTTCATTGATGAAGATTTGAAAGACAAATGATAGAAAATTTATTTTTGTTTTTATAAAAAGAAAAAACGAATTTTAAATTTGCAAACAACCGATTCGCGTATTTGTCATTCTTGGTAAACAACATTTCACTTCATTCGTATTCGTTTGTTTAATATAATGCATTGAGAAAAAATCATTTTGAATCCAGAAGAATTTGTTCAAAGCAAGAATTGCTGATTTCTTTGTTTTATCATCAATTTGTTCATTGGAAAGAACAATATCGAGTAAAATATGTTCGATATAACCAAAAAGAATATTGATGTGAATAAAATCCACATCAATTGAATGTGAACCAGCCATACTTGTATGAATTTTACCAACATATGATAAATATTCAAGAAAAGCATCATTCCAAACTTTTTGTCGAAGAATTCTTTTAAGATATTTGGCGAGACTTGTTCGTCGAAAACACATTTGTTCAGATTCTAATGTGAGTTCAGATTCATTGACAGTCACCGGTCCCGCATAACCAAAATGTCGCATAAGAAAATAACGTTTTGTAATATCGAAATCCAAAAGTCGTTGAAAAATCTTATCAACAATAATTGGAACTAATCCTGATGCCATTTTACCGAGAACGTTAAGTATGGCGATATCATCAGTAGTAAAATTGACAAATTTCGCTAAATATTCGAATCGATGTCGAAGATTTGTTTCGACTAATTTGCTGTTAACATGTTGAGTCATATTTGTTAAATGTATCTTTCAATTTTTTTCATTTTTCTATTTATTCTAATTTACTCGAGAGGAAAGAAATGCGATCGTTTTCTTTTTTTACAGAAAAAGTCAAGATAAGATCATTTGTCCGTAAAATTGAAAGAAGAAAAAGTTTTCCAGACATTTTCTGCATCGTCAGATGTGATACTAATAAACATGTTTCACTTGGAAAATCTCTTTCGACAGTATTAATTAATATTTTTCTAAGTAGATCTCATTTATTAATAGATAAATCTATCCAACAGGGATTTTTGGATTGTAGTTTCTATTTTGATTTGTTGATGATGTCATTTTGAGAAAGAATATTGATAGTCGAATGTTTGTACATTCATTGAATCTGTGACGCTGTTATTTTCTTGTATGAGGACAAGATCATATATCTTTATTTAACTGAAAACCCGAGCTTATATAGTGATCAACTGATCCCTTGACATGACTCTGTGGAAATTTACCAGATGACTGAGATCGAAAAGGATAAATCCATCATTTGAAATAAAGAAGAAAGAGTAGAAAATTCGTCATATGTACATATATGTATATGACGAGAGAGAAAGAGAACATGTATATGTATATGACAGGAAAGGAGAACCATCGCGCACATATGATATATGTAGGGTAAAATCCTTATGATCACATCTGATAAGATGTAGGTCATAACATCTCCCCCTAACAACAAAGATGCGCATTCGGCGCATCAAGAATAAAACAGACCATCATACAAAAGCCGCTTGTGTTGCCACACCACAAATTCTTATTTGTATTCGATTGAAGAAGTTGCCACACCTCCTTACAATGAACCTGATTTCTACCGTTGATTATCATATTGTAGTTAATTGTTGGCCATGATTACATTGCCCGCTCTACTAATGGTTTTAGTTGATTTATATGAGCCCATGTGGTTTTTTCTTCCCCATCCAATTGAATTAAATAGTGTTGTTCTCCTTTTTTATCAATTACTTGCCATGGTCCTGTCCATCGTTCGTCAAGTTTTTGTCGACTTGTACACACTTTAAGAAATACCAAGTCCCCAAGATCATATGAAGCATCTTTGCGATTCTTGTTGTACCGTTGCCTTGTTGTGTTTTGTTGACGACGTATAGCAACACGAGCTGCATTCATAAGAATACGACGTGTCTTTTGTAGATATTCATAAAACTCATTGGGTTTGGTAAAAGTGATATCTTGTGAAGTAGAGTCAAATGGACTTTTCTGTTTTCTACCGAATGCGAGTTCATACGGTGGATAACCTGTTGTGCTATGTATGCCGGTGTTATAGGCATAAACTATTGATTGAAGGTATTCATCCCAATCACTCGTATTCTCATTGTAATACTTCGCCAACTGCGTACAAAACGTAGCGTTGAAACGCTCTACTTGTCCATTGGTGGCTGGATGATATACAGCAGAAAACGCGTGATTTATGTTCATAGATTGTGCGATCGTTTCCATTAGTTTATTATTAAAATGCACTCCATTGTCGGTGATTATCCGTTCCGGCGCTCCATGTACTAGGATAAAATCATTGACGATAAATTCGGCAGTAGTTATGGCGGTGTTATCCGGTGTTGCTCTTGCCATTACATATTTGGACAAATTGTCTGTCAGTACAATCACATACCGATTACCTTGCGATGACGTAGGAACTGGTCCCCAAAAATCCATATGCATTACCTGAAACACTTCCGCCGGCGGCTCAAAGGATCTAAGATGACCCTCAGGTTTACTCCGAACGATATTGAACTGCGAACACAATATACACGATGATATATACTGTTCGATTGATTGACGCATATTTGGCCACCAAAATTTTGTTCTAACTTTATGTAGTGTCCGTCCAACTCCAAAATGTCCACTCATTGGGTGATCATGATACAACTCGAGCATGTCATTGACCAGAGATTTGGGTAAGTATAAAACTCTACTTTTCACGCCAGTTTTTTTCTTCGCAACTAACCGATATAACAATCCATTGTGAATGATAAAATTATCGGTTCGTTTCTTTGCTCGAATCTTTGATATTATCAGTTGGATATTCTCGTCGTTGATTTGTTCAACCTTGATGTTCTCAACGCTCAAATCATTCATAGACTTGTTCAACTTTACTACTGGCCTTGCCATGTTGGTTGTGTCTATAGTTGGATTTGGTTTTGATATATTGGTTTGTTCATCTGCACGTGTCATTGATCTGGTTATGGCATTGAGTTTTGTATTATCGGAGTTTGTTTCATCGATTTCACATCGAGTAAGATAATCCGGTCCCGCATTATCAATGCCACGTCGGTACTTTATTTCATTAATCTGTGGCAGCAAATCCTGCAGTTTTAGCAACCAGCTATCAATTCGTTTATTTCCATAGGTTTTCTTCTTGTGCATATTTGCTAATGGTTTGTGGTCTGTCTCAATGATTAGCTCACTATCACCGATATAGTTTCTTAGTTCGGACATACACCAATATATTGCTAGAGCTTCACGTTCCGTTGCCGAGTATCTTCTTTCTGTGTCACTTAATAGCCTTGATTTATAATAACATATTTTCAATCCATTGGCCGTATGTTGCTTGAGAATGCCAGCAATTCTGATATCACTAGCATCTGTTGAAAGTATAAATGGTACTGATCGATCTGGGAAGTCAAGGAACAGAGGTGCCGTGGTTAAAATAGTTTTAAATTCATTAAACGCACGCTGCTGCTCATCACCCCATCGGAACTCATTGCGTTTCGTTCTTGTTTTGTTGGTAACCTGATGGATTGGAGCGGCGATCCGTGCAAAATCATGTATAAATTTTCGGTAATAATTAATTTTACCTATAAACTTGTTTGCTTGAGAGAGCGTTTTCGGTGGGGCCATATCGACTACCGCTTTGATTTTTTCTGGTGATGGTTTTACCATTTCGCCAGTAACAATATGACTTAGAAATTCGACCGTTTCTACTGCTATGAAGCATTTGGGTGGTGATACCTGGAAGTTTACTTGGTGCAATGTTGAGATAACATCGTCAACGTGTCTTTTATGTTCTTCTATTGTTTTCGAAAACACCAAAATATCATCCAGATAAACCACCACGTAGTCCCAACGCCCATTCGCCAATAACTCGTTCATCACTCGTTGAAAGGTGGGAGGCGCATTCATAAGTCCCTGAGCTAAAACCGTAAATTCGTACAAGCCATCTTGAGTTATTATTGCCGTTTTAGGGATATCAGACTCGTGTATTGGTATCTGAAAATATCCGGAACGTAAGTCGAGTTTTGTAAAGTACTTATGTCCAGCCAATCGGTGTAACATTTCCTCCGCAGATGGCTGTGGATAGGAATCCTTTTTGCTAATTGCATTCAATCGTCGAAAATCAACCAAGAATCGGTAACTACCATCCGGTTTCTGCTTTAGCAACGCTGGTGATGACCAGGGAGATGTAGATTTCCGTAAAATTCCTTGATCCATTAGTTTTTCTATCTCTTCATGCATTGTCTTTCGTTGTTGAACCGTTTTGTAATATGGTCTGGTGCTGATTGGCGGATGGTCACCTGTGTTGATGGTGTGATGGATTCTGGTATTTGCTTTAGTCATTTTGGAGGTGTCAAATGATCTTCTATTTCGCTGTAAGATTTCCAAGAAATCTTTCCGGTGTTGTAAATCGTGGATGTGATTCACTAATCCTTCCAGTACTTTATCAAGTGGCGGTGAATCATGCTTATTTTGTTGATCTAACGTTATCATGTGCACCTTCTTGGTTTCCGAAGTAGTAAAAGATTCATCGAAGGTATTAAACTTGTAAGTCAAGTCGTCCTGTGATTGATATGTTAGAATACCTAGCTTAGTATTTTTCGTCAATCTGTGAACGTTTTTGCTGCAGTTAGAAACAAGCATATAAAACGTGAAATCTTTTATTTCAACCAGAGCATCCGGAACTTCAATTTTTAATTTTGAGCATTTTTTGTAATCCGATAAGAAAGAAACGATCATAGCATTAGAAATTGGCACTTGCATTTTTACCATATGTTCATGGTGCGGTAGTAACTCAACATCGGTAGCAACACAAGCATCAATTGAGCCATTTTCAAGAAAAGGTACACTAACCATTTCCGATTGTCTAACATTCATCTCCACTTGCCGCTGTCCCACGTTCACGTTGACGTTATTCAATGTGCACCAATCCAATCCTAGTATAACTTCTGCACCTAGTGCTTCGACCACGAGAAGTGGTATTATAGTGTTTATATTCTTAACCATGATGTCCAATTCGACTATGCCATTGACCAAAATTCTGGTTTTCCCATCTCCTAATGTAGCAACTGCTCGACTTGGTTTACTCTCCGTATTTGGAATGCGATTTAGTGCTGCTTGAGATATCAATGATGTGGTTGCACCCGTATCTATCATTGCCTGCATTGGTTGACTATTAACGAGGATATGGATGACGATTAACGATGGATGTGTATGTTTGTAGAGAGTGTGACCATCGTACACACTCCCTAGTAGTTTTTTGGACATTCAGCCTTATAGTGATCCATGTCACCGCACGTCCAGCATCCTTCATACGTCTTCCTGTTGTACTGTATTTTGTTAGAGTCAGCTCGTTGGTAGTGAGTGAGATTATGTTGTGATTGCGATTGTTGTTGTTGTTGCTGTTGTTGATTTGGAATTTCTCCATCCTCCTGCTGTTTTGTCATAGCAGGTTGTTCTGGAGTTCTATTGAAGAAACTCTTTCGCCGGTTAGTAAATGTACCTTTCTGCGGCTGTTGCTTTTCCCCTTTCCATTTTTCATACTTAATTAGCGCTTGAAGAAATTCCTCAGTAGTATTGGGGTTCTTCAAGTCCATATGTAATCGAGTGTCTGTGTCAAGACCCTTACCAAGATGCTTGATTCGCGTCATCTCATCCATATTTTTGTCAACTTTCGAACATAGTTTGAGGGTTTGATGACAATAATCAATGGCCGGTTCATCATTTCTTCTTCGTCGATTGTGTAGCTTTTGTTGCAATTCGAATTGATCAGTTCCAGTGATGAGTTTAAAGTATGCACTCAACTTTGTTTTTAATGTTTCCCAATCTTTGATTGTATCTTTTTGAGTATCGTACCATAATTTAGCATTATCGGCTAAGAGCCCAACAGCGACTGAGAAACGTTGAGCACCTTCCAGTGCGAGATCATCACATTTATCTTCAAAATCTTCAATCCAATCAGAGATTTCTTGTGATGTTGACCCTGAAAATGCTTTTGAATCGAGTAATTGTTTAATTCGTTTTGATTGCAGTTGTTTGGTTGTTTGTTCCTTCACTCCCTGATCCACCGCACTGATGCTGTTCGAAGTCGGCGAGCTTTTTTCATTTTGGTCATTATGGTCGTTCATTTGACTGTGTCGCATTGTTGTAATTGTTTCGTGAAGGTAACTGATGGTCGACTGTTGTAGGGCCATCTCCTGTCTTAACTGTTTGTTCTCTTCCAATAATCGATCTTGTTTGTTCAGTAACTGATGCATCATTTCCGCCATGCCCATTGGCTGCCGTTGAAGCTCAGTTACTGAATCCTGCTCAGCTTTAGCTTCCTCGACTTGTTTGAATTCCAACAAATCTTGGTTCACAGAATTTGATCCATGACTCATTTTCTGTTGATCATCAGCAAGTAACTTGAACTCTTGGCTGTTAGCGACACTGCGAGTGTAATGCTGCTTCTTGTTTTCTGCCATTTTCAGTTCCCGGATCGTTTACTGTGTAGTTGTCTTGTCAGTAAGAACGGCCAGTGCACCACTTGTGACGCTGTTATTTTCTTGTATGAGGACAAGATCATATATCTTTATTTAACTGAAAACCCGAGCTTATATAGTGATCAACTGATCCCTTGACATGACTCTGTGGAAATTTACCAGATGACTGAGATCGAAAAGGATAAATCCATCATTTGAAATAAAGAAGAAAGAGTAGAAAATTCGTCATATGTACATATATGTATATGACGAGAGAGAAAGAGAACATGTATATGTATATGACAGGAAAGGAGAACCATCGCGCACATATGATATATGTAGGGTAAAATCCTTATGATCACATCTGATAAGATCGGCAAAACCAGCGTTACGGAATTTCAAATTGTCAAAATGTAATGTTCGTATCTCGTCACTAATAAGTTCAAACTTTCCAAAACTTTTATTATATATACAGGTTATTGAGATCTAATGATGGTATAAAGTTCATTTATTCTACTCTATGTAGGGTGAACTTATTTGAAAAAATGTGAGCCGTTACGGAATTTCAGAAACGGAAATTTTTTTGAGGGTGAAGTGAAAGTTGAACGTTTTACTACGAATAGAAGCGACAAAGAAATAAATGCTCTGTATACAACTTGCTTCACTTTGATTATACTTTCCATATATGGAGTCATTCCGTCTTATAAGTATCTGCGTTGACTATAAAAGTGACAAGACTGTCCGTTACGGAATTTCAGTCGTTACGGAATTTCATCCTTTTTTTTAGGTGTTTTTATGAAGAAGGTTAATAGTCACTGAACTCGAGTTAACATAATGAAAAACGTTTTGCTTTTTGTTAGTTATAAATAAATAGATAATTTTCACGTTCATCTAGGTAGTTCAATTTTATTTTTCATAGCTAAATAACAAAATAACTAAGACATATATGTATCACATAATAGAGCTGTATAAGGAAAAATATATCAAAAATGGAAAGCTTTTTTTTCTTCACTGTTTCCATAGATTTTTAATTCAATTTGATTAGATCGTACAACAGTCATTGAATGAACTTTTTGGATGTTAGGCACAGCCCGCACATTATCAAATAGTAAACTAAGTGCCTTTTGTGCATCTCGAATTTCATTGACCAATAATTCTTCGATAATAATAGAATTATTTTTATTTTGGATTAAATGAACAAAATCATGTGCATTTTTGCATCTTTTTCCTGCCATAACGTCGTTATATACCGTTCTTTTTGCGGATCCACCGACACCGTCCACAACACAATAAACAGTCGCCAAAAGCTCATATCCTTCCTTACGATAGTTTAATAGGAACAGAACTCAACTGACAACTATCTCATGACAAGAGTATTCCTTTGATCTGTTATTTTCCCGTGATTATACTAATTACACATACACTTACCTTTTCCATGGTTACTGGCGAAAAAATTCCATGACAAATTAATTTTATATTTATCAGCTAGAAACGATAGATTTTTGAACAAGTATCTTTGCTTAAATTGACTTGCACTTCCATCGCTGAATATAATTACTTCTTGTAACAATGGTATCATTAATTTTAAACGCTTAAGAACATGTTCCAAACATTGAGAAACGGTAAATTTATTGTGTGAGATATCGTCCGAAACGATAATCATAGGTTGTGCAAATGATTGGGTCCAAATATATACCGTAAATAAGGAGATCTGTCGTCGAGACCAATGTGCACTTTGAATTTCATTCTGATCGATCACAGCAAAGTTCTCAGCATAATCAACTTGAACGAGACACTTTTTGTCATTCACATTTGCTTTTATCATTTCAAAATATGATGACTGTTGACGTTTCACGAAAACATGAAATAAGAAATGTTCGATTTTTTCTTGTAGTGTAGTAACACATTCTAATACTGATCCTTCGTAATCAATCTTTTCATATCGTCCTTGTTCTGAAATTGACCATAACGTCCATTTGATTTTCAATGTTGAATCAATCATTTTATCATAAACTTCATTCTTGAATTTATCGGTACAACGAGTACAATTTCTAAACATACATAATTCGTTGGCAGAATCACAAACAATTAAATTAATAAATGAATTCAAATCAGTACGTTCAAATCCATGAATATGTTTGCCTAATGACTGTAAAAGTAACGCTACATTTTCATGATAAATGCAAACACAGACATTGTGTGGAATAGATGATTTGTATAATACATTAGATGGTCTTAAATCTTGAAAACTAGATAAACTGAGTTTTATCTGTGGATTTTCTTGAATAAATAATTCGTATAATTCACGTAATGAAAATAAAAGATAACGTCGTTGTAATTTTAATTTAGCACCATTTTCTTTTACTGTAATAGTATCTCGTTTGCCTGGTGATTGGTAACTAATATCATCACGAATATAATAGTCAAAAACTTTCTTTTTCACTTCTGACGGTATCGATTGATTGGTACGTTCATATTTTTTCTCTAATTGTAAAACGTTTAAGTCTTCAGCAATTTTATGAATTAATTCAATTTGTTTATTTTTATTTGCAGGTAATGCCTGCTTCATCTTTTTTAATGCTTTAGCTTTTGCTTGTTTTGTTACAAAGTGTGATGTATTTAATGAAGAAGGAATTGGAGCTGTTGCTGTTTTTGCACGAAATTTTTGTAGATTATTATGTTGGCGTAGCCGTAATGCAGCTAATTGAGATGAAGACATTTTTGAACGAATCGCTTGCTTACGTAGTCGATCCTTTTGCTTTGCAACTTCACTCAATCCTGTTCTTTTCTTTTTTTCTCGACATCGTCGAGCTCTTTCAGCACCAGAAAGTGCCATAATTTGCAGAAAAATAAACTGTTTAATATGTAATACAACAAGTATTATATATAAAACTAAATTTATGAGGAGGCTTTTGAAAGACTTTTATACAGAAACAAATGATAAAATTCATGACAATGGATAATATAAAAGCGATTTTATTTCGTGTTTCCAACATCTATGGAAATACAATACCGGTATATGTTTGATTTCAAAGCGTAAAATTGAAATTCAGCTAAAAATACGAAATTTATTTTTTTCAGATGAAATTCCGTAACGCAGTACTTTTCGAAAAAATACATCATAATAAAACCAATGTTCGAAAGAAACAAGTGCATTTAATAGAGCTGTTCAAGAGCTATCTCTATGTGTATTTTGTTAAATAATCATAATTGATATGTGCGCACAATACACATTATACGTTGTTTTCGTTACGGAATTTCATTAAAAACGAGGATAGTTCGTGACTGTATTGAAAAAACATAGAATGATTGAAACTTTTTTTAAACCATATATTCTGAGAGAGCATGTCAACTTTCATCAATGGTTGTCAAATTCAAGCCAACCAAGTATATCTATTATATAATGTTAACGGTTCTTCTCTGATGATCCAATCATAAGTTCATACTACGCCCTCTATGATGGAGAAGACGATGTTTACGCCAATGTAAAACTGATCATTCAGACCCTTACGACATCTGTTATAGGTACTATCGTCGATGCTCTTTCACGTGAAAGTGTTCGTTCTCATGACTTTTAAAGTCAAACCTTCCTCATAGATGGGTGACCGATGGCTGGTTTTGCCGAGATGTAGGTCATAACAGAATCAAACAATTCAACTCTTTTATTTTATTAACTTCAGGTCAATGATAATTCTTTCTCGAAAAAATAATTTTTTTAACAATAATAAACAAACGATGATAATTATGATGTTTTGTTAAAGACAGAACAAATCTAAAAGGCATTAAAAAATCTAATTAAATCCAATCAGAGTCAGTAGAGCCACGAATTTCTCAAATATTCGAATCGATATCGAAAAATTATTTTTCCACAAATTTATTCTTGACATGTTCAAAATCATAAAGTAAAACGTACAATAAATATTACACAAGTAATTACTTTCTTATAAAACAATCTTAAGAATGGATGAGTTGATTTAATCAGAATAAGACATGTCATGTTATTTTCATATCTTTTTCTCGTGACAGTGTAAATAAAATGAACTATTGAAGTTTTTCTTTTTTACAGACAAATGAACAATTTGGAATAATTGATAATGAGATGGAAGTACATAACCTTAGAAAACTTCTTCATTTAATTTATTATTTGTTGAAACAATCCGATTTTTCATTGAAGAAAACAAAACTATGTTAAAATTTCTTATTTTTCTCATTCATCTTTTACTATTCTGATAATATATTTCAGAAATTGAACATTATGAATTAGTTTAAACAATATTTCTCGTAAAAAATTTCGTCAAAATGATCTGTGAGAACGTCGAGTTTCTTAAAGAAGAAGAAAAAGATGATGGTCGATGTCATTTGAAACAATGTGTATATGATTGTGATAAAAATAATTCATTAAGAAGTCACGACTTTCTCTCATAGTCAGTCTAATTACAAAATAAAATACACAATATTATTCATAAAATGATTAAATGTCAAACGAGTAGAAAAAAAAAACTAGAATGAATGTTGGATCTTTTCCATAATGTTTATTTAACATTTCATTTGTTGAAAATCTCTGAGTTTTGTATAAATTAATTATGAAATAAGATATCAATCTCGATTATTAATAAGATGATCTTGAAATTCTTTTAATATTTATTCAAATTGTCGAACATCCAATTTTAATATTTGGAAAACAACATGAGAAACGTGATGTGTTTGATTGTTTTGTATAATGTATTGAGAAAAAATCATTTTGAATCCAGAAGAATTTGTTTAAAGCAAGAATTGCTGATTTCTTTGTTTTATCATCAATTTGTTCATTGGAAAGAACAACATCGAGTAAAATATGTTCAACAAAACCAAATGAAATGTTAATATGAATAAAATCCACATCAATCGAATGTGAACCAGCTAATCGTGTGTGAATTTTACCAACATATGATAAATACTCGAGAAAAGCGTCATTCCAAACTTTTTGTCGAAGAATTCTTTTGAGATATTTGACAAAAGTTGTTCGTCGAAAACACATTTGTTCTGAATATAAAGTTAATTCAGATTCATTAACAGTAACAATTCCTGTATAACCAAAATGTCGCATAAGAAAATAACGTTTTGTAATATCGAAATCGAGAAATCGTTGAAAGATTTGATCGACTATATCTGGTAACATTGAAGCTGTAAGTTTACCAATTCTATTAAGCATGACGATATCATCAGTAGTAAAATTGACAAATTTCGCTAAATATTCGAAACGATGTCGAAGATTTGTTTCGACTAAATGATGATCGACATGTTCAGCCATACAATCAAATAGCAACTCGATGTTTTTTTTATGATGATTATAGAATAAATATGAAAAAGAACAAAGTGCAGAAGTTAGAAGATAAACAAATCTTCATAGAAAAAAAAAGATTGAAGGGAAAAAGTGTGTTTTCCGGTTAATGGGAAAATTAGATGTTTAGGATAAAAATACATAAATTAAATTTTTATTCATTTTTTTTTTCTTTTAATGTTTAGACTAATGAAAATAAAGAATCTTGAAAAGGTTCTTAATTAATTCAAAAACATTAAAATACCAGAGAGAGAGAGAGGGGAAGAATGAAATATATTTGAAATTTATTCTAAAATCAAAGTGAAAAAGTCCGTATAGAATATTGTTTCAGAAGTAGAACAGACTCATTGGAAATGCGCGAGAAATCTTTGGTTGTTTTATTTTCATTATCCAAGAATCGTCGTATTTATTGAATAACAAGATAAGAAATCGCCTTTACAAATATTTGAATATTCATAAAGAATTATAAATAATCTTATTAATTATTTAAGACATGACTCATAACGAAAAAAGGTTCATGTACCAAAAGAGATCTGCGTAAAATATCATAACGATGCGTATGAAACAAATCTTTTTGTTGATTATAATTATTTTTACCTCGAAAACCATTAATTATAATCATATTTTATAGAAAAATATTGACAAATCGGATGAATCTTGTGACTTTTTTACATTTTGAAAAGACCACTTCTCGCTTTAGATGGTATACAAAGTGATATTTTCTTATAAATGGCAGATTAAATCAATTGTTCATCAGTCCAAAGAAGATGAACAAATCTCACAAAGTGACACAACATAGAGTATCTTAATGTATTTTTTTTCCACTGTTGATTTCTTCATATAATTATTGAGAAGATACATTCAATTTCTCTTCAAATTATTTTATTGCTAAAAGGATAAAAGAAAGATTAGTAATGAAAAAAATGTCCAATTAAAATCCTCCATCGATATCCAAAGCGTCGCTTTTTGCTGTTTCCCAATCCAAATAAAAATTGACCCAATCACTTTCACCGAAAAGCGGTGTCATAACAAAAAGATAACCTTGATCAGCTTGTTCTTTGAGCTGATTGATAGAATCAGGAATTGAAGCAGCTAATGGTAAAGTCTTATAACGATAAGTTTTATATTGAGATTGATCTCTGCAGTAAAGGATAAAATTCCACACTACTGGTTTTCCATTTGCGGTTTTCTGTGTTTGGCTAACAATGTATGAAAACGCAGCAAAACGATAACCCTGTTCTCCTAAATCATTTGTTTTTTCTAGAAATTCTGTTGCTGTTTTTGGTATATCCGATAAAGGTGCATAATTGTAGTTCGCTGATCCTTGAGATAAATCGTTGATAAAAAGTGCACTACGATTGTCTTTATTATAAAAACCCCAAAATCTGTACCCCTGTGCACCTTGTTCGTTAAGTAGTGTCCAGAACACATCCGGATCACTTGGCAATGGAAAATATTGATAAGCATATTGAACATCACTTCGATGAGAATTTTTCACATATGCATTATAGTAACCAGTAGCTGTGAATATGCGCCGTTTTAGTCGATAACCTCGATACCCTTCGCTAAGAAGTTGAGATATCAAGTCGCTACTAGTTGTTGGTTCAGGAAGAATTTCATATGAATACTCAGTTGGCCAACCGTTCAAATTGACAAACACGTTTTGTGATGCATACTTTCGATCCATAACACTTTGCAGATAAACGTATCCTTTTGCACCTTCGGATGTCAATAAATCGGCGTAGGCTATACTTCTATTCGTAGCTGGAAAATCGTAAGAAATTCGTGCGGAATTCTCCTCAGCACGTCGATATGCTTGAAGAAGTTGAGCAATTCGTCCATAATGACTCTGAGAGTGACCCAAAGTGACTAGGGTAAACAAACACAGGATTGATAACAAACGCATTTCTATCCGTTGATGTTTGAGAAATGAATGAAGAATGTTTTCAACTAGTCATTATATATCGTTCACTCGACAACGTTTTCGAAGATACAAAAATCAAATCAATAGGTACTATCGAACTAGTCATTCGTAAATATGAAAATTATATGAGATAAATATTATCGACCAGCCATTCACTTTGCCCCTATCGTCGATTCATAGAATACGAAAAACAAAACTAATCATAATAATCGATAACGAGGATTTGATATCTCATATTTACTAATTATATTTTTATGATATCTTATGATAAAAATGGATCGTAACCAATCAAGTGTGCAACACAGAATATTATTAAACGAGGACATTCTCAATGACGATTTTGAAGATACATTCTTGAATACAAACATATTCAATATGATCATGTGATTAATCAGTAATTTCATTCGCATTCTTATCAAAGTAACTGAAATAAGAATATTTTTGGTTAATAAATATTGTTTCGTAACACGTTTTCGTTTTCTTTCTTTCAAAATAATGTCCAACTGATATGAAGTAATTCAGGTAAAATTATCGAATTAATATTTATCATATTTTGTGGTAAAAACAAGTCGAAACTTTGTTCGATGTCAATCAAAATAAATCTGCTTTCTATCGATATAATCATTTTCTTTAACGGCGATTCTATCTTCACTCAGATCAAACGTTTTATAGTTGATAAAACTTTGCGAGAGATTTTATTCCCATTCTTACTGTCTTATTGATACTTTCAACTCAGTTTATATTATGATCTCATCTGCAATTAGAATCTTTTTTCTACTTTATTCATCAGATTCAACACCATCAGTCGAAAATATTACACAGAATATTCTTCCTTGTCGATCTTTCACATGAATCCATCGTGCAGTTGTTTTTATTTTCTTGAAAGTGTGAATAGAAAATAGACAAATTGTTTATATTTAAAAATATGAATATTAAGTAATTCTATGTAAAAAGAAATGTTTGTGAGAAAAAAAAACAAATAAAAGACAAAGGAGACAAATGCAATTGAAGGTTAAGAAATCAAATAGTCATTTCGATTTTTGTACGATGTTACCCTAAATGGATGAATTTCATTTTTGAAGAGTAAATTGATCAGCAATTTGATCATCACTATTGTGAAAATAGCTGAAATGTAAATAAGTTTGATTAGCGAATATCGTTGTATATCCAAATTGTTGATCATGATATAAACTCCACGCTGCACCTGAATATGTTCCACCATCGAGATCTTGTCCAGCCATTCCGATCAAAACTTGAACAATTCCATCATCAACACACTTCGACTGATACATTGGACATGATCTTTCATACGAATGACGATGTGCATAAAGATTCACATCAACATGATATTGATAAAATAATGGTTCTAAATATAATCGAAGCATCAATTTAATCAAATCAGTGGGCGATTCAGATTCTGATGTGTAGAAATGACGATGTGAACCAACAATTAACCATGGTGTACGAGAACGATTCACTGAACGAAGATCTTCTTCAATCCATTGATATTGAGATGATGTTCGACGAAAATCATGTTCTGTTGAATAATAAATTATATGAATTGGACCAACATCAAAACTATACCAAAAGAGACCATTGCCATTAGATGGAGAATGAAATCGACGAACCATTGGTACAGCACATTCACCACCTGAATCTATTCCATAATTTCCCCTTTTTTAAAACAAAAACTTTTCTTTCTTATTCTTCTTTCAAATATAAATATAAATACCATTCAGGTCGAAATCCACCTGGACCCGATGCCCCACTTGGATCTTTGTCCCCTCCAGTTTCATGATCATATTCATGATTTCCAATTCCAACCATATATGGTACACGTGCTGCAACAGGTTGTAACTGTGTCATAAATGCATCCCATAGTGCACCAATTCCACGTGCATAACTAATATCACCTATGTGAAGTAAACAGGTGACATTCGTCGATCGAATACGTGCTGCCACTCGATCCATTGTCGACTTTGCACCACTTTCAACAGGTGAAACACCCATATCACCATATGCGATCAAATAGACCGATTCATCTTTATTTGATGGACGATTTCGAAATGAATAAATCTCTGACCAACCATGTTGATCAGTTCCGACACGATAATAATATGTTGTTGATGGGACAAGATCCGTTAAGAGAATTGTGTGCATAAAACCAGGATGAATAAATGTTTGTGGTCCCCATTCGGTAGCTTTGCCTTCACACATATCTGATGCTGTGTAAGTTGTGCTTGTGCCAGACTTTTGCAAGTTTAATGATGATGGATTCAGTCCATATTGACATTGTGGAAGAAAATCCGAAGAATTAGTTAAATATGAAACGTAGATTTCATCAATATGATCTCCATAAGCTAAATGAATATGTGTTGGTTCATTGATATTCGATGGTTGAACAGTTGGTGATCGAGCAATTAACGAATAATTTCCAAAACAATTTCGATCACGAGAATAGTAACGAAATTCAAGTGGACGACGTAAATTTGTCATTTGCCATGATGTTTGACTTTGACCAGATTTAACAAATTCATAATCGAAATAATCACAAGCTAATCGACAAGATAAAACAATATTTTACACAATCAAAATATTCTTCTTCTTCTTCATTTACCTGCTGGAACATCGATTTCAACAAAATAAATTCCAACAAAATCATCAACACATGGTTTTGATAGTGATGTCCACGTGATAATAATCTGTTCATTACTCACATAAGTTGTAGTTGATACATTAATATTTGATATGGCAAGACTTTTTGAAGAAATCGAAATACCTGAACCACGATTACATGCATGTGGACTTGGCTCATCACCTACAGCATGACGTTTACCAAATGGTCCATTTGCATTTAAATGTCGATCACCTACGACCAGAATAAAGAGCAACGGGAAAAGATCGACGAAATATTTCATCTAAAAACAAAACAAATGAATCGCAATTTCGTGGTAGTGTTTCAGATTTTTAATGATAACATATCTTTCTTTATTTTCTACTTCAAACAAAACACTGATAATGATAAAATACGTATTGAAAAATATGAAGAATAAGTGTGATTTTCTCGATGAGGTGCCGAAAAGTCCTTCAGTATAAATAATATATCTTATTCTTTGTTTAATGTAGATTGTCATCAATATTCAGTTTCTTTTGAATTATTTGAGATTGTTTATGTAAAACTGAACAGCTAAGAAACGTTGAAGGCAGTAAAACCACGTGTGATACTTTGATCGAATATCCCATGATATTTGTCTTCTAATATAAAGACGAAAGAACGGAAAAAATCTTTTGCGTTCTGCATATAACCTGCGCAGTGACATAAGAGTACGAAAGAGTCATGGAGCAGAACTGCTTGTATGTCATATTCGTAATCGGGAGATCGATATCGCTCAAATCTTTTTCATTCAACGGAAGTTCAATAAACCAACAGAGATGAAGAGCAAAGTTAGCAGATGAGGAAAAAACCAAAATGAATTGAAACTTGAAGAAATATTTGAAATTGAATGGACGGTTTTAGTAACGCACATATTTATTCATCTATTAAATGTATATTATTATCATTGAAGTGTTATTAATATTTGTTTCTGCTAAATGAAATTTTGTTCTTTTATTTATATAGAAAAGACATCGAAATTGCAAAAAAAAAGATTTAATCCGTTTTTTTCTTCTTAGACAAATATTTCGTGAGATTAGAATTCGCTAAGAAATTTAGAATTTCTCCGTGATTTCTTTGATGAGTTGCTAAAATTCCATCAACAACTAACATATCTTTTTTAGAATGATCATAAGAAATCGTTTGATTTTTCAATGTTGTCATTGTTCCCTGATTTGCTCGAAGAATCGCATCGGGAGCACAAAGATCCCATTTTTTAATTGGTGTAATATGAAGATAATAATCCGCATAATCCTCTAATATCTGAACTGTTTTATAACCTGAACCAGCGGCTGGAATAATTTTATATTGTTTATCACGATAAATACTCTTGAGAAGTTGAAATGTTTGACCTGCATGTGAACGAGATACGATGATATCATCAACACCTTTTGTATGAAGTGGTTTGAGACTATTTTCATCTCGTTTGATCATTGAATGATTCACTCCAACCCATCCCCAGGCTAAAAATTTCCAAGAAAAATCATTATTTGACTTAATGGAAGAAATCTTTTACTTATTCTGTCAGTAAATGGAGAATAAAGAATTCCAATCGTTGGTTGTTTGTCAATCGTAACACAAAACATGACCATAACATATTCAGTCAGATCTTCTGAAATATAAAATATTTCCTTTATTGATACTTAATTTTGTCATCAAACAGAACCGCCGACTCTCATTTGACCGAGATATTCTATTTGGCCTATTTCTCTCTCTCTCGATCCTCAGAGAGATGTTCGATGAACAACAACAAGAATTCAATTGGCAAATTCGGATAATTTATCGAGCGAAACTCAGGAAGTAAAAGAATTATTTATCCCATAAGAAATAGACAAGTCTGAATCGTTTCTTTCCTTCGCTTCTCTATAAGAAAGCAATATATCGATAAGAAGAACAAAAAAAAAAACAAAAAGTTCACATGTACTCATACTTGTGAAGAAACTGCTGATACCGACAGGCGTACTTTTGTGACACGAAAAACGAACCTGTAAATTCTTTTGTTGCGTCTAATGGGTCAATCCATACCGCGACGGATGACAAAGGAACAGTGAGAAAATTATTTTCATTGGTAATTTGTGGAATCGTTGTTAATTTATCTTTGACATTGAATTTCTTTTGAATAATTTTGAATTGTTCATCATTGATTGAATCTTTTTCTTCAGAGATAATCTATATAATAAACAATCGATTTTAATGGAGAAAAACAAATGAAAAGAAATTTTACTTGAAGATTTTGAAATTTCTTTTTCAATCCATTTGTTAAAATCGAATGAGAAATTAAATCTGCAATTGTCACTGGTTCACTCGGTAGATTTTCAAAAGACTTTTTCTGAAAAATCTCTCGAAAATTTTCCTTTTTATTTTTAAACGATTTAATAGCTTGTCCTGCTTGATACGTTAATTGATATGAATAAGAAAACAAATCGACTAAATTAATATTTTCATCATTTTCAATTGCAAATTTATCTTTCAGATCTGTTGTTGGATGATTTGACGATAAAAGATACACAATAAACAAACAAAGACAAATTCCCAAAATAAAAAACGATCGATGTGGTTGAAATTTAACACCAAACATTCGATATGTCATTGATAAATCATCTTTAATAAAGAAAAAGTTAAATGAAACGCATCTAATCTGTGTTTGTTAATATATTCTTCAAATAAACAAGAAGAGAAAAGAAAATGAACGAGAAGAAATAAAGCATATCGTACAAAATGAAAATTTTTATGAAGATATTTAATGAAGTAAATTAATTAGATTAGGTGATGTTGAAATAAACTTTTCCAAAAACTTCAATTGTGACGGTTTTGAATTTGTTAATAATGAATAAACATCTTTAATATGATACCAATTTCTTTGTCTACCAATTAATCTTTNCCCTTCGCTAAGAAGTTGAGATATCAAGTCGCTACTAGTTGTTGGTTCAGGAAGAATTTCATATGAATACTCAGTTGGCCAACCGTTCAAATTGACAAACACGTTTTGTGATGCATACTTTTGATCCATAACACTTTGAAGATAAATGTATCCTTTTGCACCTTCCGATGTCAATAAATCGGCGTAGGTTATACTTTTATTCGTAGCTGGAAAATCGTAAGAAATTTGTGCGGAATTCTCCTCAGCACGTCGATATGCTTGAAGAAGTTGAGCAATTCGTTCATAATGACTTCGAGAGTGACCCAAAGCGATCAAGGTAAACAAACACAGGATTGATAACGAACGCATTTCTATCCGTTGATTGTTTGAGAAATGAATGAAGAATGTTTTTAACTAGTCATTATATATCGTTCACTTGACAACGTTTTCGAAGATAAAAAAATCAAATCAATAGGTACTATCGAACTAGTCATTCGTAAATATGAAAATTATATGGATAAATATGATCGACCAGCCATTCATTTTGCTCCTATCGTCGATTCATAGAATACGAAAAACAAAACTAATCATAATAATCGACAACGAGGACTCCATATCTCATATTTGCTAATTACATTTTTATGATATCTTATGATAAAAATGGATCGTAATCAATCAAGTGTGCAACGCAGAATATTATTGAATGAGGACATTTTCAATGACGATTTTGAAGATACCTTCTGGAATGTAAATATTTTCTTTAAGAATAAATTATTCAGTAATTTCATTCGCATTCTTATGAAAGTAACTGAAATAAGAATGTTTTTGGTTAATAAATATTGTTTTGTATCTCGTTTTCGTTTTCTTTCTTTCAAAACAATGTCCAACTGATGTAAAGTCATTCAGGTAAAATTATCGAATAAATATTTATCATATTTTGTGGTAAAAGCAAGTCGAAACTTTGTTCGATGTCAATCAAAATAAATCTGCTTTCTATCGATATAATCATTTTCTTTAAAAGTGATTTTATCTTCACTCAGATCAAACGTTTTATGATTAATAAAACATTGCGAGAGATTTTATTCCCATTCTTAATCTCTTATTGATACGTTCAACTCAGTTTATATTATGATCTCAACTGCAATTAGATTCTTTTTCCTATTTTATTCATCAGATTCAAAACCATCAGTCGGAAATATTACACGGAACGTTCCTCCTTATTGATCTTTCACATGAATCCATCGTGCAGTTGTTTTTATTTTCTTGAAAATTTGAATAGGAAATAAACAAATTGTTTATATTTAAAAATATGAATATTAAGTAATTACATGGAAAAAGAAATGTTTGTGAGAAAAAAACAAATAGAAGACAAAGGAGAGAAATGCAATTGAAAGTTAAGAAATCAATATTCATTTCGATTTTTGTAAGATGTTATCGTAAATGGATAAATTTCATTTTTGAAGAGTAAATTGATCAGCAATTTGATCATCACTATTGTGAAAATAGTTGAAATGTAAATAAGTTTGATTAGCGAATATTGTTGTATATCCAAATTGTTGATCATGGTATAAACTCCACGCTGCACCTGAATATGTTCCACCATCGAGATCTTGTCCAGCCATTCCGATCAAAACTTGAACAATTCCATGATCAACACATTTGGATGGATACATTGC